GTCCACTATTTGCCTCATCGATGGCAACCTGCCAAGTTCGTTCACTGGTTAAGTAATGGGGTAGGGAAATTACTTTATCCATCAAATAAGGGATAGGAAATGTGAGGGTTGAACAGAATAAAATACAGGTAATTTCTAAACTCTCAGAAAGAAACAATGGGCCTAGTAATCTTCTCAAAGAGTCTGGGAAATTTCTAGAATGCTCACAAAACATCTGACTCCCATATCATATACTGTTATGAGACAGGACAGATTTCAGTAATTACCTCCCTATCAGGGATTTGAGTCAATGACTGGTTTGCTTTCATTTTAGCCCCATTGCGTTGTGAAGCATTTCAGACTTTGTTCTTGTTTGCTTTTTAAAATATGGGGTGTGGTTCCAAGAGTACCATAAATGTAGCTTTTTTCACTGCAAATTTCATAAGTGGGTAGCAAACTACTGAACACAGTAGACTGGTCCAGAAGACATCTTTAGTCAATACCTGACTTTGGCTACACAGAGATTAGGAACCCAAGAAATTCATCTTAAAACCATTAGAAATGGTCACAGACTTTCAGACTATGATTTTAATGGCATTAGTATGTAATGCTCTCCTCTCGGAGAGCCCGGCAAGCTACCGAGAGTATTCGATATGCCAGACACAGTAACAACAAAAGTCTCCGATGGAGACGTTACTGGGCCCGCTCGAGCAAATCGACGATCAACGGGAGGGCCTTTACCTAAAAGGCCTTTACCTTTTAGTATGTAAAAATAATATATACTATTATATAAAACCTGGATGTGTGGACACATGCATACATATATTTGTCGGTTTTCATCTGATAAACAGTAAATGAATTCCATAAAAATCGTATTCATATGGAGGAAGGTGGAAACAACAAAAAGATTTATGGATAATTGAAGAAACATCCATAATACATGTACCATAAAATTCTACTGAAAGATACATGAAAAAAGGATTTAAGAAATCAAGAAAAATATCTTTCATGAAAAGAAAGACCCACTAAGGAAAGTGAAAAGAGGTCTTTTCTCCAAAATTAATCTTTGTGTAACACAGTATCAATTCAACTTCCTTCAAGAGGAAGAGGCCCAGTTTAATGAAAAGACTTTTTCATATAAATTGGTGCAACTTTTGGACAGAAAGTAGGGATGGTGGCTATAAAAATATTATATACTCATCCCCTTGGAAACAGAAATTCTACTTCTGGGAATGTACCCTGATTTGCTACCAAAGATGGATAAGGAATGTTCCTTGCAATAGTAAGAAAAAAGGGCAAGAACAAGTAATGGAGGATAAGGCAGGAAGAAAGAAAGGAAACTTTGGGTAAGACATTTTTAGATAACTCCACAAAAGAATGATAAAGACATAAGAGAAAAAAAGTTTTAAAATACTGACATTCAAATAGTGTTAGCGGAGTTGGAGAGGTAGTCCAGGGGTAAGGACCCTTGCCACACCTGACCACAGTTTGAGACCCAGGACTGCATATGGTACACCACCTCCCTCCCCCGCACTGCCAGGAATGGTCTCTGAACACAGAGCTAGGAATAAGCTCTGAGCACACCTGAGTGTGGCTCCTGGCCCTCGCCAAGTAGTTTTAGCAAGGTCTCTGCTATAGGCTGCATGTTTATAGGATGCACGAGACATATTTTGCTCCAGATGTTGACACTCTTATGAGGGGCCTTGTGATGGTCTTGTCAAAAGGGCATGAGTTTCTTCTCTGCTCTCTTACTCTGCCATTAAGGACACAGCAAGAGAATTGTCAGGGAAAAAAGGTACTCATCAAGGATATTGGCACCCAGGTCTCAAACTTCCAGCTTCCCTATTTGTGAGAAATCACTTCTGCTATTGAAGAATTTGTCCTAGTAGCCTGAGCAGAATAAAATGATCTCTAAAGGAAAAATGCAAATGATGTCAATGCAAATTATAGAAAATATAGTAGCATCGGTGAAGAAGAGACAAAGGACATAGTGGATGGAGGTTTCCAGCTTCACATTCTACATTTGTACAAAGAGACATATTAGTTTTATAATCATCATTAACCATTCAGTTCAATAAATCCTGAGTCCTGTGCACAGACACTGAGATGGGGGAAAATGACACTCAGGCTTTGGGGAGCTATGTTATCAAACATCCAATATAAGACCAAATATGATTTGTGTTTGTATCTTCTGATAAAGTGGGAAGAGGCTGGAGAACTTGACCAAAACATTCTAAAGATCATCCAGAAATAGTACTAAGACAAACTGGTAGTCCGGGTCTGGAGGCATAATGGAAGGACACTTGGAAGACACCACATCTCCTGAGAAATGATGATGTATAGTCTATGGAGTACTTTGTATTTTTTTTTGTTTTTGGGGTCACACCCAGCAATGCACAGGGATTACTCCTGGCTCATGCACTCAGGAATTACTTCTGGCAGTGCTTGGGGGACCATATGGGATGCTAGGAATCGAACCCGGGTTGGCTGCGTGCAAGGCAAACACCTCACCCGCTATGCTGTTACTCCAGCCCCTACTTTGTATCTTTTAAATTGTAGTATTTACATACATAATTTAACAGACCTCAATGAAATATGTATTAAAGTGGTGCATTATGTTGCATGTAAATCATACCTCAGTAAGACTAATATTTTTTAAGTCAGAAAAAGGACAATAGCACAGTAGCACGGTCCTCTTGTTGTTCATTGATTTGCTTGAGCGGGCCCAGTAATGTCTCCATCGTGAGACTTGTTGTTACTGTGTTTGGCATATTGAATACGTCTCGGGTAGCTTGCCAGGCCATGCCGTGTGGGCAAGATACTCTCGGTAGCTTGCCGGGCTCTCTGAGAGGGGCAGAGGAATCGAACCCGGCTCTGCCGGGCCGGCTGCGTGCAAGGCAAACGCCCTACCGCTGTGCTATCGCTATGAATAAAAAACCATCTAGCTACTCAGATATTAAACATGTAACGTTAGGGTGTACAAGTTTGTACAATTGTAATAAAAATATATAAATATATAAAAATATATAAATATATAAATATATAAAAAGAAAATATGTAACAATTCTATCCTTAACGGAGGAAGTTTAAATCAGAGGTTTAAAAAGAATAGCTTTGTAGGTACCAGAGAGAGTACAGGGTTAAGGCAATAGACGCAGCTTCATCCCTGAGCACTGTCAGGTCTGATTTAAGAGCACAGAGCCAGAAGTAAATCCTGAGCATCACAAGGTGTGGCCTAGCTTCCCCCCCTCAAATAGCTTAGGAGCAACTGGCTAAACTAAAACTGTAATGAGGAGTTTAGCTAGTAAGGAATCATTCTCCTGACAAGTTAAACTAGAACTAGCATATACTCCACAATAAAATATGAAAGCTTAAGACACCCGAAGAAAATAAAGAAAAAGTTATATAAATTTGGGTTAAGAAAGTCCTTTCTCAGTAAGAATCTCAAGTACAGTCCACAATGGGGGGAAAAAATTGACTAAATAAAGAAGTTCAACTTGTATGGTCAGAGATTTTAAAACAAAACCAAACAAAGCCAGTAACATATTAGTCAAACCGGCAAATATTGTGCAACATATATGATAGAACCACTGTTTTAATCTGTAGTACTAAAGAGTACTTAGAAGGGAGGGAAAAAAAAAACCTGTAAAGACTCCAACTGAAGAGGCAAAAGAATTAAGTCAATTCTCCCACACAAATGCAAAAGCCAATTAATAGGAGAGAGGAAGGAGGTGAGGAAACCACCTCTACGTTCATTTTAAGTGATCTTTATTTTCGCCTTCACATTTTTGTTTTCAGGAGGCTACTGCAATCAGCCTATCCTTTTCAAAATAAAAATCCTAACAATATGATAAACGTAAGGTGTTAGATAAGACACACACAGCTTTCTCTTCTCACCCCTTAAAAGACCCTCTAGAAATGCACCCTATTAAATAATAATAATAATAATAATAATAATAATAATGAATCGTCTTTTCCCTTTTTTCAAGGGTTAGCTCTCGGGCAAATGTAAATGCACTCGGCTGCCCTGGCACAGGCGTTGCTCAGGGTCCGCAGAGTGAGATCATCCTGGGAGCTGCCCTGGTGGGTCTCCCCAGAAAGAACAGGACAACCAAGGGAGGATGGGAGCCGCGGGGGTGCCTGGGTCACACCCACCCTGCTGAAGCTCTCGCTCTACCCTCCACCCCCAACACCGCGGGCGCAGTGCGGCACCCGCCACGCCCGCACCCCGAGGCCGAAACGAGGGGCGAGTCCTGCCGCCTGGGCCGAAACGCCCCTGTTGGGGGGGTGGGCTGGAGAACGCGAGCGACTGACGCTCCTACAGTCTGGGACCCGGCCTGTGCCGCTGACCTTGGCCAGTGCCCGCGGCGCTGGAACCTCCGTTTCCTCTGGGCCAAAGCGGACGCGCTGGCCCCCCGCGCTGCTGGCTCCTCTTTTAGGGAGGGGTGCACGGGCGACGCGGGGGGAGGGTCCCCCTCCTCGGCCGGGTGGCCTTCCCGGATCCCCCTCCCGGTGCTGCCCGGGGACCCGCGGACGCCCGAAGCTGCAGCTGGGCCAGTCCCCGGGTGCCCGCGGGAGGCCAGGAGGCGATGGGCCCGGCCTTACCGCTTGTGGGCCCCGCCGGGCTGGGCACACGGCGGGGCTCACCTGGGCTCCCGCGCTCGGGGTTCGCGCCCGCCTGCCAGCCGCGCCCTGCGGCCCCCGGGGGCCAGGAGAGGGCAGGCGCCGGCGCTGGGCACACACGCATCCCCGCGCCACGGGCCGACCGCTGCTGCTGCTGCTGCTGCTGCTGCTCGCCGGGAAGTCCTTGTGGGGGTTCCCGCAGTGGCCCAGCAGGAAGCGGCCACCGCCACCCCTGGGGCCCGCCCGTCCCGAGCCAGCCCGGGGGGCACAGAGGCCCCGCCGGGCGGCGCCAGCCACGGCAGCTGCCACCCCGCTGAGCAAACCCTCCGCCCTGGGCTCGGGTGGCTCTCCCGAGGCCGCGATGCCAGACGCGCTGGGCAGACCGTGCGGGGACCTACCCGGGGGGCAGCCGTCCACTCCCTCCGCTGCTGTCGCCGAGGCCGGCTCGGCTCAGTCCCACGGAGCCTCGCCTCCTCCTCCCGCCGGGTGGCCTCGCTCCGGCGGGCCATGTGACCTGCGAGCTGCGGAGCGACCACAGCCCCCCAAGTCAGCAAGGTTGGGGGTGGGGGGGCGGGGAAGGAAACCACGGCAGAAGGCGCCCAAGGCGCCAACTGTTGGGCAAAGAGGGAAAAGCAGACTCTGCGCAAAGGCACTGCAAATGCTGAACTGGGGTGTGCCAGCTGCTCCCAGGCCCCGCGCGGGTGAGCAAACGGGGGTGCGCGGCTCCCGGGATTTGATTTTGTCGGTAATAAAAAATAATAACCGCCGAGGCCGCCGCTAATCCTCAATGTCCCAAGCGTTGTCACTGGCTCCGGATGAACCTTCTTCTCGCTGTCTTTTCACTCCTTTTTTGCATCGGAGACTGTCTCCTGCAATGGACAGTGATGGAGATTTGAGAAGCTCGTTCTCCAAATGCTGCAACCCTTATTACAAAATCAGAAAGATGGCTTTTTTTCCCCTAATCAGGTCTCCATGCCAAGGGGTGAGGTATAGATGTGTGGGTGTCCACGACCCTCTCTGTCTCCATCACCCACGGGTGCCTTTGCTTGTTCCAGCCCACAGCAGTATCTCTCTTCAGACCCTAATGTTGGCAGATAGTTCATTTCATTGCCATTTTACAGGGAAGAGAACATGTTTGACACAATGAGTGATCTTGTCCAAATGGAAGGACTGGTTCATCTAGTCCTCTGGTTAATAACAGTGCTTATTTTCTAGGAACTATGCAAAACGTTTTATTACTAAAAAACACTCTTACAAAGTGGCTACTTGTTATTCCAAGTACGAGAACTGCGAATCAAAAGGGTTATGGATTTGCAGAAGGTAACACAGCTTGTAAGTGGAAGAGCTTAGATTAGTATCTAGTTAGGTTTTATTGTTCTTGTTAATAGACTGCACCTGTCTCCAGTCCGCTTTGTGTGTGTGTGTGTGTGTGTGTGTGTGTGTGTGTGCTATCCCCAACTTCTTTGTCCTTCCTATTGCTTTTAAATTTTGCCAGACTGTCTAACCAGTATCAGGAGGCTCGTGGTAATTGTCACCTCAACAGGCCAATACTGAGCTCATCCTAATAAACAGGTCTTGGTCAGACAATGACTGACTTTCTGTGGCTAGAGCCTAGACCATGTTATTTATAGATAATGAATCTTCTCCTGAAGAGTGTGGGATATTATTTTTAGGGAGAAGATAAAATCTGAGTATATTTCATTGAGAATAAAAACCAATCAGTGAGTTCCTACGGAATGTGACAGTGGGCTCCTGCTCCGATCCCTCTACCTTCCTCCATTGTCTGCTAGTCCAGTGGTCTTCAACTGCTGTTACAAAGGTACAGAGAAGTTGAAAACCACTGGTCTGCAGCCCTGATTATGACTGCCAGTCTGTGGACTGGTATGCAGGACAGGTGCTGGGTGGCAGGTATAAAAAAGATTGAAGATCTGCTCCGCTGCACATCAATCAAATGCACCAAGCCCACTTCTACTTTAGGGCCTTCATAGCTACTATGCCTCAGCTTGGATCACTCTCCTTCTAGACTGTCATGTGTCTTGCTTCCTTCCTGTCTCCCACCATCTCACATAACTCCCACACATATCCCTCAAGTCAGTTTCTTCCTTTTCCTCTCCACAGTGAATCACACATGGATGATTATGAACTCATCTATTAATTCACACTTTCCACAGAACATCCAAAAGAGAGAAATGGGCAAAGGAAGAACAGGATATAGGAGGTACCTGGAAAGTGACTAATTACTAATGAAAGGCTCTCTTGCCTTGAAAGAGATAATTTCTGAGCTTCCCATCTCAGAAATTAATAGGCCGTGGAGGTATAATTAAATATCTTATATATAATTAGGTGATAGCTAGGCAAGGTATTTTAGGATTTATTGTGAAGGAGCCACAATATTTGCAATAAATTTAAATTTAATGGTTCCTGACGATGTGATTTCTCATAAACTGTGAGTTATTTCATACATATATCATGAATGAAACTACCAAAACTTTAGAGCAGTAGGTCTAAAGTCAACACTCAGTCTCCAAATGAAATTGTAGACTATTTTCCCTGTCATATAGGTCTATCCAAGTCATTCAAATATAAATATATATCTATATATGTATACATATATTCAAGTACACACAAGTGTGTTTGTACACATGTGGGCATGTGTCTGTGTGTGTTTATGTGTGTTATGTGTGTGTGTCTGTGTGTGTGTGTGTGTAGAGCTGATGTTGCCTTAAGGGTAGCCCTCAACTTATGCAAGCAAGCCAGTTCTATCTTTTGTATAGAAAAGAAGTCAGCATTATATTTCATCGGGTAGATGCATAAAGATATACTTACCTAATGAAATTTTTCTCTACGCCTGATAGCCCCTCATTAATAAGTCATTACTTTGGGTCTTGAATGTTTCTCAGTCTTCCAGAAACCAATTTAAACACAAACAAGTCCTCAGACTGATGACACAGGAGAAAATGTTTACATTGATCATAAACAATCCCAGAGGGCCCAGACAATAGTTCAATGCCATAAAAGCCTGCCTTGCCTTGAGGCTGTGAGCTCAAATCTTCAGCATCACTTTCATATGCCAAGCAGTATGCTAGCAGTTATTCTGTTCAGGGACTGTAGTGCCAAATAAAGGGTGTGTGTGGGGGGTGGTGTGGGGTGTTGGTGCAAATAAAGAAGGAGAAACACGTGGGTCAGGAGTGTGACTTCCTCTTCACCCTGTAAGCAAGTGTGTGAATGTCCCTGAGACCTCAACAAGCAACACAACCAGATGTGTGAGCACCACAGCCAGGGAAGTGTGTGACTCCAGTTATTAGAGAACCAACAATGACAAAAAGATGGAATGGGATTGGGTTGTCCCTGAGAAAGAGGAATCCCTGAGGAAAAATTCCTGGAAAAAAGAATCCCAAGGAGAAGTGGAATGCCTCAGGATGGAAAAGGGTAGAATCAGAAGAATGGTGAAATCATCTGTGTTCCACCCTGGGCTTTCCTCCCAGGATTCTCATCACACATTTTTCCAGCCTTCTTCCATGCTTTTAATTCTAGAACCAGTTCGCTTTTCCAGGCTCTGGGTTAGCAAGCTACAGCTTGCTCCCATGTTGTGTGTGCACAATGAGATAATATGGTTTTTACATAATTAAATGTTTAAGAATAAAAATATTTTGAGATGAGAAAATTATGTGAAACTCAAATTTCAGTCATCGTGAAGTTTTATCATAACATTGTTACTATCATATAACAAGAGTTGACTTATTATGACAGATATTTTGACCTACAAAAATACTTGCTCTCTAATCTGCTGAACCTACTCTAAGAAGTCTATTCTGGTCACATGGTAAAGGAGCAATGCCAATTATTTCTCAGATGGTTTCTTCTTGTGTGTGTCAGCACTGTCAATTATAGATACTAAATTTCCTTAGAATCTCACATTGACTCATCTGAGCAGCTATCCTCTTGTCCTCTGTTTTCACAACCAATATGTAATAAAGAATTATTTTGACAGCGCCAACACTAGAGATAAGAATGAAATTTTGGTAGCCAATGGTTTGTGCTCTCAGGGAGTTTGGTCTTAAGAATGTTGTAAAGTTGTTTAAGACTAGGTCAGCTGGCACAGCACGGACCCCGCCACGCGTCCAGCTCCGGGACCGGCCACCCAGCAGTCCACCGGCCCCCCCCATCCAGTTGTACAAGCTCAGTAGTAAATAGCACCTCCTCCAAAAGTTTCACTCAATGTCAGTTATAAAACAAAGAATAACGCCTGATTGAGAAGAAGGTCAGACTCAGAAAGGTAGAAGAGGCCCAACTAGCAGCAACAAAGCTGAACGGCTCCTGGCAGTCTCTCCTCACTCAACCAGAATAGTAACAGTGACTGTGAAGGACCAAACCACACTGGTCACAATGGTAAAGCAATGGAAAAGCCCACCAAACTTTCTTATTCACGAGGAAAGCCCAGAAGACACCAACAGTACTATAGCGTTAGACAACCTCTCTGACAAGGAATTCAGAAGGGAGCTACTTAGGATGCTTAGGGAACTAAAAGAAACAATGGAAAGCAATGCCAATAAAAGACAAGAGGATTTGAAGGCAGAAATGAGGAAAATGCAATCAGAAATGTCGGACCTGAAAAACCTGGTAGCCGAATTGAAAACCTCAGTGGAAGGCCTCAGCAGCAGAGTAACAGCGGCTGAGAACAGAATCAGTGAGCTCGAAGATCAAGTTCAGAGACTTGCCAGTAAAGAGCAGAAAATGGAAAAGAGACTCACAGTTCGAGAACAGATGGCAAGAGAAGATCGTGACGAAGCGAAGAGGGATAACATAAGAATTATTGGAATCCCAGAGGGACAGGAAGAAAACCTTGATGAAGAAGAAACTGTCAAATAAATCATTGCTACAACGTTTCCAGAGTTGAAGAAAACTTGTGACCACATTCAGGAGGCCCGAAGGGTACCAGCTAGAAGTAAGTAAAGTAAGTAAGTAAAGGCCCTCCCGTTGATCGTCGATTTGCTCAAGCGGGCCCAGTAACGTCTCCATTGGAGACTTTGTTGTTACTGTGTCTGGCATATCGAATACTCTCGGCAGCTTGCCGGGCTAGTCCGAAAGTAGTGAGTGGTCGCAAGGTCAACCTAAAGTCAACCTGCAGCAAACTATAAACTAAACTCCTGGATGTACTTGGATTTACCTAACTCTCTCACTACTGCACTTGACCAGCTAGAAGAATTCCGAATAAAAATACCCCAAGACACATCCTGATCAAAATGACCAAAACCTTAGACAGAGACAAAATTCTGAAAGCAGCAAGATCAAAGAAAGAAATCTCTTACAAAGGAGCATCCTTAAAATTCACAGCTGATTTTTCTGATGAAACCCTCAGGGCCCGAAAACAGTGGAGGGACATAGTGAAAAAACTGAATGAAATAAATGCCTCTCCAAAAACACTTTACCCAGCGAGACTCTCATTCATAATAGAAGGAACAACACACAGTTTCACAGACAAACAACAGCTCAGGAACTTCATAGATTCAAAACCATGGTTACAAGTACAACTAAATGGGCTACTTTAAGGCAAGACAGGCCCCTCA